CTAGACTGAGGTTTGCCAAAGGGCAGTCGCTCCGTCGCTGTCTGATGTCTGATCGATCCCAAGGAACGTGAACTGTCATTTTGGATCAAATTCTGGTCAGCTTGATATGGATCTACTTTTACTGCTGGTTTATTGTTTAGTGTTTGTTTAATGTTATATTCAGAGTTTTGGCAACCTGTTTTGCGCCATAGGGTTCACTTATGTAAGTTTCACTGACTGACTTCCAAACTGCAGAAAGTTTGTTAATTTGATAGATTCTAGCATGACTTAGCTTTCTTCCATATCTCACATGGCATTCCGTGTGTGAATGACAACAGCAGATTCAATTATCATTATTAACGAGCGAAAGCAAAAAAATAGCATTATCTAACACAAACGTTTCGACAGATTGGGCACCGGTCACCATTAAAATATTGAAATGGTTACCATGATTTGTCCTTGCCATCGCTGTTGCAAAGATCGGTCGACTGATGAGGAAGTTGTGACAGGAATCAGTAGGGCTGCTTTTACCGTTGAGGCAGTTTTGTCCTAGCGATGCACAGGCTTACTTTAATAAAAAATAAAAGGTTGTCGGCCATATGAATCCTCAAACAAAACTCGGATTATTTTTTTTTGCTTTGCCATCGTCCTTCTGAATCGTTAAAGGCTGCTCTTATTCAATGAGGACTGGCAGAAGAACTGGATGCCCCTTCTTGCATGATGTCTGACAGTAAGATAAAAAGTGTTCCTTTGCGCACCGAACTGAAAATCTGAAATTCGGCAATCCGAAGCTTGTATAAGCGGGTCGTCATCCCCCTGAATTACATTTGTCATTTTTATTTTAGCCTCAGTTGGTATTTAACCTAATTGCCAGAAGCATATTGTTTCCGGCCTAAAGGGAAATCAGCAAACCATCCGGAAATGATTTTGCCCTTTACTTGTACTTGTAGCATATTACCTAATGAAATATACCATATTGAAATATACCATATACCATATTACCTATGTACCATATTACCTCATGTATTACATCTCCATCTCCATTTTTTTCTTCCATTTCGTCTTCTACTTTTGCATCCGCATCTTTTTCTTCTTCCACTTCATCTCACTTCATTTTCTCGTGTTTGTTCGGTCTCTTCTTGCGCTACTTCTTCATGTTCGCCACTTTTCCCTCGTATTTCCATTCCGCTTTATTTTCATGTTATTGTCCCTACTTCACTTACACTACATTTTTCTTTCTGTTTTAATGTCCCCGCATCTTCGTTCTCTGACATTTCCCATTCTGTTTCTTCCTGCTCTGCTTCCTCTTCAACCTCCAGATCCGGTTTTTCTCTTCTTCCTTGTTTCCTTGTTCTTGTTTCTTTTCCTCTTTCAGTTCTTCGTTTTTCCATCTCCTGATCAATTTTTTGCTTTCTTTTCGGCATGCTCTTCCAGCTGTTTTTGTTTTGGTTCCTAGTGTTTTTCGTCGTTCTGTTCATTTCGTCTTGTTCTTCTCGTGTTCTATATCTCTTATCATTGACCTTCCTCTTGTCATCTACATGTTCATTTATCGCTTATCTGCAGTACGAGTCCACCTGATTATCATACACGTTCCCTTGTCTTTCATGGAGTCTTGTTTCAACTGCCTATCTTCATGTCGTTCTGTGCAACGTTACCTCCTCCACTCTCCCCGAATTCTGTTCCTCCCCTTCGTTTCTTTCCTGAGATTATTCATGTTTGAACGACGTTGCCAAGCAGTATTATTGATTGGTTGAACTAATTGAATGCACTTTCGTTGATGTTTTCTGCTATTGGGTCTGCCCCTGCTATGCCTCTTGAAAATATTTCAGATTCAGTGCTTTTTTTGTTACATAACATTCATCTGATCGTTCGTATTTCTAGGGCGTTCAGATATTTCTCGTGTCTGCGTACTGTTGTGGCCCAACATTTAGTTGTTTTCCGCAGTATAGCACTTTCGATTGCTGTAAAGACATTGATCTTTAATTTGATGGTCATTTTCTTTTCTCTAAACATGTCCCTCACTTGAGTCAAGTCTTTTTCAATCGACATCTTAATTCGTTAACGATTTCCAGGTTATCTTGCATACTGAAAGCAAAATATTTGAATGCTAGAATTTTATGCGGCAGATTATCCTCTCTCGTCGTTGAATCACCACTGTCATCTTTGATCCCTGTGCTGCAGCTGCCAACCACGCGTTTCGTTTCGCTTTTACCCAGATAAAGCCCTTGTTCAGAAACTGTTTTACACGCTTCTGCTTTCACTTCCATTCCTTTCTTGCGTTCGCTACGCAGTGTTGCATTGTATGTCTAGATTATGGAATGTTACAGCTCCTCTTTATTAAATGAATATAATAAACAGGCGTATCACATACCGTAACCGTCAACATGAGTTATGCTGTTACAATAATTATCCAAACGTTGAATAGTGATCCTATTGGCTGTCGCCTACTCATCACTTATTGTAAGTAATAAGAAAGGTAAGTCTGCAACCGTTGGAAGGTCCGTCTTCTTTACACTGTCATGATGAGACCATTTCTGGTGCAAAAGTGATACTCGTTTTTCAGCGTCATAAAGATGAAAAGAGACTGGCCCGCCCGGGGCTTTAGTCCTGGTCCTCTCGGTCCTGAGTCGGGCTCTCTACCAATTGAGCTCTCTCCTGGTCCAATCACTTTAGTAAATACTTACGTACCATAGAGATCAGATTGGATGAATTATCGGTTCGTCTACTTGACTTTAGAAGCAATCATCCTTAGGACGTTTAAATGATCAAAAATGGGTGGAGTATTTCTCTGCCTAAAAACGTGGATAAATTCTCGATGATCTCTAAGCGTATATTCGCACGCTTTCAGTAAGATTGTATGTTTCACATGGAAAATTGTGCGACACTTTATAAAGCTTAAATGGTTTCTGTCTAAGATTAGATGCGACAGAAAACGTGGCAGTATATTTCGGAGTACGCGAAGGATTTCGTCGTCAAGATGCTCACGGTCGACTCGCTCAGAAGGATCAGCGTTGAAGAAGCCCTGCAGCATCCATGGATTCAAGTAAGTGTAAATTTACGTTAAAGATTCATTTATCCGTGCTGCACTATATAAGCGTGAGCGCATATGATAGCAGCGAATGTATGCGCAATTTGTGCATCTATATTACGTACGTCATCACCAACCTTAATCGGCGACCTGCGTTTGTCCGGGTCCTGCTATCAAAATCCCTACGGGATTATCGTTTACAGTACTTATTAACGATAACGGAGTACCGAGATCGTATGGCTATTTATCATGTACCTTTCTAAGATATTGCATACTTACCGTTAATAGTGTGTATGCTGATATCATTACCGATACTTAATGTTATTTACCATCCACCGTTACCAGAAGCTTTAATGCGATACCTGTTTATCAGTTATGATCATCAGTTGCAGCATCAGCTTCTGTTTTTCAGTAGTCTGGTCAGTGACTCATTATTATGTACCCTATTCAGGTAGCGTTATCAATCATGGTAATAAAATACTTGACTATCAGCTGTCTTATAATTTAGTATCTGCTTATCGCCTACTGTTATCACTTACCGTAGTCAGGTAATTGATCATCACGTGCTGCGTTCATTTACCGTAGTAATTTATCTGATTAACAAATACTGTAAACAGCTGTCATAATCAACTCTCTGAGTATCGGTTACCGGTGTCTTGTAGAACCCTACTCAGTTACTAAACTGAAGTTTCTGATGGTAGGATACTGTTATCCTTTACCTGGTCAGCAGGTACCGTCATCTTGCATTAGCGAAGATACCGTAATAAGTTGCTATAATAAGATGATGTTTAAATACTGTAGTCACATCGACTGATATAATATACCGTAATCATTCACTATAAGCAGGTAATACTTGTCGGGTGCCGTAATGGAACCCATTATCAGAATCCTGCTCAGTTATCGTTACTAGGTACCCTTATCGGTTGTTACATTGATTATCATTGACTTTGATCATTTACCGTAATGCGGCAGCTGATTCTCGGTTACTGTTATTGCTGTTAATGTAGTCATTTATTTTAATACCCCGTATTTTACTCAGTTTCCATTTTTATTTACATGATGGTTAAGTGCTTTAGTATAGTAGCTAATTATTAGATAATCCTTTCAGTTACCACAAGCCAACACTTGAATACTATTTGGCGTAATCGGTAGCTGATTATCTCCATTTAGTCATCGAAAGCAGCTTTTTGACAGCCGCATTCAGTTTCCAGTTGCTGATTCTCGAAGAGCTAATTATCACTTACCGTAATCACTTACTGATTATCAGGCCATTTCTCGGTTACGTAGTTAAGACACCCTTATCTACAGTTGCACAGTCCGGTTCCTAATTATCTGGTGCGGCAATCAGTTGCCTGATCATTAGATATTGTATCAGTAGACGAATATCAAGTAGCATACTCGGTTAGCTTAATTACGTATATAGGATACCTGCTAATCATATATATGATTATAACGTAGGATTATCTGTTGCCGTAATCAATTTAGGTAAACATGGCGCGTTGACACAGTTGTCTAAGAGATTAGCTTCGAATTCCGGAGGTGACATTGCTTCACACCATAGTTGCTAAGTCAGCAGAGCACCGAACTCAAGTCCCGGACAGAGTCACTCACCTTTCTTCCTTCCGATGTTTATAAAGGAGCACCACGGTGTGTGAAGGAAACAGGAGACTACACACTACGCTTGCCACGTGGCTGTAGACTCTGTCTTTTAAAATAAAGCACTCCTGACTAATGGCATTAAAATGGCGATCAACCTTGTCCCATAAACTTCATAAAAGAAAGTTGCCAAAATGGCTCATATTCATGAAAGTGAAGAAAGACCGGCATACTATATGTGACTAACGTTCTTTCTTTCACTAAATGCTTTAAATTATTCATTTGCCGTGACGACGTATCGTTATCAATTATCTGATGAACAGGTAACCTTGTGTGCGATTCGCCGTTTACTTTCATATTGATCTGATTATCTGTTGTCTCTTTCATACTCTGCGCTGCCGCTGT